CTTTCCCTCCTCCCCTTGTTTTGTGTCTCTATGTGTACCGAAGTCTTATTTGGTTAACAGCTGTTGAACAGATGGAGCAAAACTTCTTTGAGCCTGAGGCACACTTCGAATCCAACGGAGATGTCTCTGTCAAGCAGAAATGGAAATCCATGTCAGCTACCTCAACCGTTGACGAAAACGAAAGTGGCTGCTTTGAGTGCAACATATGTTTAGACTCGGCAAATGAGCCTGTGGTCACTCTCTGTGGTCACCTTTACTGCTGGCCTTGCATTTACAAATGGCTTCAGGTTCAGAGCGACTCAGACGAGTTAGATCAGCAAAACTGCCCTGTCTGCAAGGCTAACATCTCGCATGCTTCATTGGTTCCTCTCTATGGCCGTGGCACATCCCGTTCGGATTCCGATACCAAGAAACCCCAGTTGGTCATACCACGCAGGCCACTTCCATCTGGGTTGAACGCTATAATAACTTCTACCACGACCTCTACGTCGCAGCAGAATCATCCTCTATATCCAAACTATTTCCAGTCCAATTCGCAGTCACTTCACCAGCAATATTTCCCCCATCCGTATGGAGCTCATGTTACAAACAATCTGCCACCGTCTCATCTCGGGGCTGCAGTGATGACGAGCTTAATCAATCCGACGATTGAAATTTTTGGCGAGATGGTTTTTGCGAGAATTTTTGGGAGCTCGGGTACGAGTTTGTTCTCTTATTCTCCTCCGATTGGAAGTAGCAGTCCAAGGATGAGAAGGCATGAAGTGCAGGTTGACAGATCACTTAACAGGGTGTCTATCTTTCTTTTCTGCTGCATTATGTTGTGTCTTCTCTTGTTCTGATTCTACTCACTTTGTTGGCTTTGCTTCTGTATAGTTCTCAAAACTTGTAATGTGAATATAGAAGAATATAATTGATGTTAGAGATTTTTGCTGAAAGATTGCTGTGACATATCATTTGATCTGTACATAGTGTTGTATGTTCAATGACGATTGTTTAAAAACTTCTCTATTATAGTAATCAAAATACTGTTGACTGACCAAAATACTGTTGACTGTGATTTTATGTTTATACATATATATGTGTGTATGTATGTATGTATGTATGTATGTATGTTTCAACTGCGGAAAAGTGTGAAATCTAATGCATATACCACCTCTTCATCGAACCAATAATCCATTTAACTTTTGAGGAATATTGAATCAATAATCTAAGAGATATTATAGCTAACATGCACATGTAATGTGGTATTAACAAAGATAACAAAGTTACAAGGGAAATTATGGAATCAAAGTGATCTCGATTAAACAAATGTTGAGAAATATGAGATATATATATTATATTATTTAGCGGACTTTGGAGCACACAGTTGATGGTTAACTAATAATGATTTTAGCATTTTTCTCCGGTTATTCAGAACAAAAGGAAAGTTTACCAAGAGAAAAATAAACTCAAAAGCAGTAAAACAATATTCATGCTTTTTAGAGTTTGGATAACAAAGGTTAGGGGTAGAGTTGGACTACTCATGCGGGCTTCTGAAAAATGGGCATTTGGTAAGGTGAGAGAATTTAAGGAAAAATTACATAAGAGCATTTCAAATAGTTGATGTACAAATTATAAATTTAACATTTCAGAATAAAAATACTTTCAATGCAATACTATTTATTGTGTTAAGTTTTCTATATGCTATACTTGTGACAAATTTCTCATAAAGTATATCATATGTGAAATTTAACATTTAATTGCTATAGGTTGAAATGTTTATTTTTTCATGTAATCATTATAATTTTTACATTTTCTAATTATTTTAAAAATAAAAATTACTTTTACAACTTTTAAAGCTTAATGATTATAAAAAAAAAAGATAGAATAGCATTTCAAATCGAATTATGCATAAGAGTAAAAATAAAAATAACATATCATATCATATTGATGTTAAATATACAATTGATATTAACATTTACATTAAAGATGGTCTAATGCAAACTTTTAGACGCTAATGTTTATGGAAAAGACGAAATGTACTTTACATTTTACAAATCAGATTAAAAACTCCCTTGTTAGAAAAGGTCAAAATTAAAAGGTGAATTTGGATATTTACATTTGCTAAATAAAATGGTACATTTTTATGCTTGAACCTACACCCATATTTTAACAACAATAAAACACTCAAGTATGCAACCAAACAGACGTTAATTGACTCCCAATTTGTGTAGGGTTAGAGATTACGAATTTTAGCTCGACTCTGGCTTTCAATGCTTTCCATTGACGGATATTAATTAATAGAGTTGATTCACCTGTACTGATAATTTAAATCATGTAAAGAAAATAGAAATACTAAAGTCTCGTTCACTTCGTAGATTTGAGTTTTCAATTCGAGTTGAGACGTGATATTTTTTGAGAGTTTTTTACTGTAGCAGAAAAAGTTAGATGTGACATTTTCTAAAAATTTTTTATTGTAAAAATTTAAAACTGAAAATTCAAATCGGTAAAATAAACGAGGCCTAAAAATCTAAAGTGGGATTCAAATTGCCTAAAAGATAGTCAATTTGACTATGTAAAACATTATCAGATATAATTTACACTACTATAATAGTCTACTAAGCATATTAAGATAGGTAGGGAATCTTACTTTTCAAATTGAATGGTCAAGATCAACTGACATGGTTGAAAATCTAAGGTTGAGATTTTTTGTTGATGGAATAAAAGAAAAAGAGAAAACAAAATTAGGTAAAAGCTAGCTAACCAACTTTTAGCATAGGAAAAAGCTAAAATAATTTTTTCCTAACGTTCAAATTTACAAACACCAATTCGGGTTATATTCCGAATACAGACTTACAATTTACTTGCACATTTAAACACCGGTTTAAATTTTAATTTAAATGACTACATTTTATATTCTACAATTCAAATAAAAAAAAATTAAATCACCATAATTTAAACTCGTAAACCAAACATGATCCTAGGATTTCGGTGTACTTAGTAATTAGGAAGAGAATACGTATGTTGACAAGATAACACTTATTCAAAAGAATAAGGTCACGTTCACTTCGTCGATTCAAGTTTAGAATTTGAGTTGAGATGTGACTTTATATGAGAGTTTTTTACTGTAACAAAAAAGTTAGATGTGATTGTTTGTAGAAAAACTCAAATTCTAAACTCGAATCAGTGAAGTGAACATGACCTAAATGAATAGATTTAGATCCTGTTTATTTTGTCAATTTGAATTTAAAATTTAAATTTTATTATAATAAAAAATTTTCATAAATAATCACATTTAATTTTTTTATTACAATAAAATTTTTTTATATAAAATCACGTCTTAATTTAAATTTTTAATTTAAATTAATAAATTAAACTCACATTAATTATAAATTTGTGGACTGTCATGTCTTGTCAT